CCGACGCATGTTCATGTTACCGTTGCCCATTGGCTGACTCATGACGCGGATCGGGCCCGCTGTCATTTTGGCCATTTGCGTTGTCAGTTGGCCTGGCCATATTCGAGCACGAGTGCTGGCGAGCTAACATACGATATATATACAAAAGGATTTGTCTGTGGCCTGGCCAAAGGCGCTTTGATTAATTGCCGACTTAGAGCCTGGCCATTCTCGTTAGGCCAAAATGATGCTGTCGCTGATGTTGACGTACAGTGCTGTCGGCTGGCGAATGGCAAATGGCGAATGGCGTTGGCGTTGGCGTGAATCACTTGAGCCAAAAGGTCAGGCAACAAGGTTGAAGATATGCAAACTGCAAAATTAATTGCCAAGTTTGTCTGGGAAATGCGGAAATTAATTGGGCGACTACCAACAAGAGAGAGAAACGAAACAACAAAGCAGATAACTGCCAACTTTGTGGTACTGCAAATTGGCAACAAATTCGAGTAGAGCTGATGGGAGGCCACGGCACTGGGCCAATACTTGTTATAAATGGCAAATAGCTGCTGGCCGCAAAGCGTTTGGCTTCTGCGTATTTTTGCGTGAGGACTTTAGCTGAGCCAGAGAGAGAGAGAGGGAGAGAGAAATAAAAAGAGAGTCATTACCAGCTGGCCACGCAATGCAGCAGCCAGCCAGCCAATAGCCGGGGTCAACAGGTTAATGGGCAGCATTAACGGGCCAATGCAGGTATGTGTATACGTGGCCAACCTGGAGTGGAGTCGCTGCCAGCTGGAGCGTTAATGTCTGTCGCTTTGATTGCCTGCCAATGCGCCTCTGGCCAACAGCTTTTTCGATGTGAATGTGCGTTTATAAATCTATCGAATAGATATACGAAAGTACACACAGATATATACATATATATATACATATAGTATGTATGTGTGTGTATATACTTTATTTTCATTCGTTTGCCCCCCTCACTCTCACTCCCTGCCCGCCCGTCTGTCTGGCATCAGAAAAGCGAAACTTTAAGCTGCTGCATGTAATGCACTTATAAGAGCTGCGGACATTGCGGCAATTTGTATGCGCTTTGTTGACTGCTCATGCATATGATTGACTTATTGATTGCTTGATTGATCGATGGCCCGGCCAAAGTGACGGACTAGCTGACATTAAGCGGCTGCCATCGACTCGCAGTGCTCCTCAATTAGCTAGAGACGTCGACAGCGCAGCTCCGGGCGGGTTCATAGAACTTTGCTACCGTTATATTTATACATATGTCTCGCAACAGAGCACAGTCTGTTATACACATACATTGTACGATAATTATATGTATGCCAAATCTGGCGTCTAGACTTCATAAACAACCCCATCCAACGCTGCGATTGGAGGTACGTGCCACGCATGCGCGCATATAATCATGCTATTTGTGCTATTTAGTAGCTGTGTATTTTTATACACATTTATTTATACATATGTACATATATCTATACACTCGAAGTCGACTCGAAGTGCATTGACAAATATGTATTTACGATGTCAAACAAATGAAAACGCATTGAAATGCATTGCAAAATGTGCAAAAATGTTTTCCAGTTCTCCAATGCCATAAATTACGAGTTAAGCATTCGAGAAGGGTGCTCAATGTTTGTTTTTTGTTTTATTTATGTTGTTGTTGTTGTTGCTGCTGCTGCTGTTTCTCATATTCTGACTGTGCATACAAATAGTACAAAAAGCAACAGCAACAACAACTGTCAACCTACTTAGGTTTTAATTTATGCGTAAGTCTGGATTTAGTAGCTTTTCAATATTAATTTCCAGCAGCAGCAACAACAACAACAACAACAACATTGTAGCCTGGAGCCATAAATCACAATATCATATATAAGCACACGATTATACGCCGCATTTGGATTTATTGAACATAAGCATATGGCAAAGGAGGCAGCAACCGCATTTCTGCTGTTGCTGTTGTTGTTGTTGTTTGTGTATATCTTTCAGTTTTTTATGCGTTTTACTTTTTACGATGTTTCTTATGAGTGGATGGCCTAAAATGGGGCTTATAGAAGGTGCGTGGTGCAAAGAAAGATTCCATATTCACAGTTCTCTATTTCCATTAATATTGAAACAGAAATAAAGTTCTAACGTATGTAAAATTAGGATAAATGTAAAAAATATGTCTGTTATTATACCCTGAACCCATTTTCAATGGGAAATCAGGGTATAATGGTTTTGTTGAAATGTATGTAACAGGCAGAAGGAGGCGTGGCAGACCCCACAAAGTATATTTTTATATATTTTTTTATCGATAAAAAACCGTATCGAAAACCAGTTATAAAATTATATCTTCTACACCTTTATTGCTAGAGTCTCCAAATTTTTAATGTATGTTTATATGCAATTTATACAATTTCGGTTTTTGTTAAAATTTACCCCCCACCCTTAAATTCACCCCCTCACCCTCACTTTTGTAAAAAGCGTATTTCAAATACTAGAGACTTGTGCTTTGGCAATTACATGCATATCCATGTCATAATCATAATCTGAAAGTTTCATGAAGATCGTACGTCCACAAAAAAGTTATTAAGCAATTAAGTTCTCATAGTAAGCGCTCACTGCCGCCCATGCGTGTTTATGCTTGTGTGTGTATATGTATGTAATTGTTTGTGTATGTGTGTGTGTGTGTGTATGTGTGTATGTATGTGTGTGTATGTATGCCTGTGTGTGCGTGCGTGCGTGTGTGTGTGTGTGTGTGCGTGTTTCTTGTGTAAGCTGAAAGACGCGAAAAATTATTGAAATAGCTATTACTCCAAGGGTTCAGGGGATCTCGTAGTCGAGTAGTCTCGACTAGAACTTTCTTACTTGTTTTATCATTATATTTATATTTAATTTATAATAAAAATACATATTACAGTGATAAAAAAATGTATATATTATTATTTATTTATTATTTTATGTATTTATTATTAATGCTTCTATTTTATTTATTTATTTTTTTGTTTATTAATTTCTAACATAATTATATTACTATTTTATTATCAATAAGATTAGAGATATATAAATGTATGTATGCATATAAATTCAATATTTAATATAATATTTAGAATTATTAGTTTTTATCCATATTGCATTAAATAAATATATTATTACAATTTATTTAAATATTTTTATTCATTACAAACTTAATATTTATAAAGTATTTTGCTTTTAAATATTTCGAAGTACATATATGAATTACTTATACTTATATTTATATAAAAAAAAAAAAAAATATATATTTATATATATATATATTTATTACAACATATTTATATATTTCTATACTTATACTTATCGACAAATTGCTGTTTACACGCCCATTGGCAACTTCATCTGTAATTTCTCAATTTTTAATTGTACATTTTTAGATGTAATATGAGACCCATTGGCCATAAATAGGGCCCCACAAAAAGACAGCAAACAGCCGAAATTTCAAGTTTCACTGCAGGCTCTAAGCTCATTGAATATCAATAGAAATGTGTGTGCTTGTGTGCGTGTGGTGTGGTGTGTACACGTGTGTGTGTGTGTGAATCTATGCATGTGCGGCTTGCCATCAACGGCTGAGCTCAGCGGACTTTACAAAATCCTATTAGAGCTGTCCAAATTCCCATAGGCGCGCTAAAAGCCTTGGCAAAAATTTAATAAATAAAAAAAAGGAAAAATAATAATAAATACAAAGAGCGCTGTGCAGCTGTGCAAAGCCTCAAAATAGCCGCCAGTTAGTGGCAAAGATCGCAACACTCCACAACAGCACGGGTTGGCGCTGGGACTGTGGCTGTGGCTGTGGCTGGGGCAGGGGCTGGGGTGCGGGTGCGGGTGTGGGTGTACGCCCTGGGTATGGCACACACATGGCAAACAGTTGTGAGCTGTGCGGCGGTGCTTGGCTTTTAGGCTTTCGCCCCATTGCGTGGGTGTGTGTAATTTGACATCTTCATGAAATAATTAAAATTATTTATTGTTAATTTATTTTCGCTGTCGCTCGGCAATCGATAAAGTGAAAGATAAGCCGAGTGCATTAAACAATTGAAATTAATTTGTCAAGCATTTGACAAGAGGCGTGCCCCACAGACCGGGACACACAGACACGGACACGGACACGAGCCGGACAACCGCACCAAAAACGGCCAAGAGCCGCTGGTGAAAGGAACTGCTGAGCGCTGAGGCACTTTCACAAAAGCTTTCGGCCCGGCACAAAAGGTCAGCGTCAACCCCAAGGGTAGTCGAGCTAGCCAAGACTCGAACCTCGCATCAGGCGTGGCAGCCAGTGGGCGATGGATGGCATTGCCCACTGCCACTGCTACCTGCTGTTGACTGCCCTCTGGGCAAATACTTCACTGCTGCTGCGGCTGCCTGTGCAGCGCAACGAATGCAATTAAATGGATGCAGGCCGCTGCCAGTGGCAGTTTAACGGGGCAGTTAATCATGCATCGACATGTGGCCGAACTGCTGCTGCTGCCCGGCGACTCCCCACTCTTGACTGCCAACTGCCTGCTGCCTGCTGCCGACTGCCGACTGCGGACTGGCAACATATTTGGCGGTCACTTCTAAGCCGCATTCGAAAGTGTTGCGCAAAAAGCAGTTTGCAATTAAAACATGTTGGCATTGCCGCTGCCAACAGGAACAGCAGCAGCCACAGCCACAGCAACAGTTGCTGCTTGTGCTGCTGGTGCTGGTGCTGTTGCTGTTGCTGCTGTCGTCTAGACGTGCGACGGGCGACTGCTGCTATGACACACAGATGGCGCTGCTGTGCCAGGCTGATGTGCGCAGCGAATCGGCTTTCAGCGAAGGCAGAGAGCGCCGGCGCAGGAATGAGGAAACTCTGGTGAAAAGCTGAGATGCGTTGAGAAATGTGGTTAATTGATTTTTGGTGCGCCCTGTTTTAGCCCCTCGCCACTTTCCCTCTCCCTCTCTCTCCCTCTCGCTCTCTCGTGTGTTATTCGATTTTGCAATTAATTTAAAGTTTTTCTCTTCTGTCTTCCATGCAGAATCACACTCCATGGCTGTACGACAATGTCCAATGCTCGCGAGCTGGCATTGATCGAGAAATGGGCTGACATCGCAACGCCGCCGACGCCAACATTGCCCGGCCTATCGCCAACATCGCCGCGTACCATCATCAACTTCTGTTGTTGCCCGCAGCGCAGGCGCTACACTCTGAAGCAGCCGAAGCTCAAGTCGTCGGCGAACACGCTGCATGCTAGAAATATATTCGTTGATAACGATTTTACGTATATTGATGATGTGCCACGTGCCAGCCGCTACAACAACGGCAACGGCAACAGTAGCAGTAGCAATAAGCGACGCGACGAAGATTGCGACAGTGATAACGATTGCAATGATTATGATGATGAGGCGAATGATATCGCTGAGATCTCTGGCAAAAGCAACAGCGACCACGACGGAAATGTGGCGCTGATATTAATGAATCAACGAAATGTGCCTGAACAATGGCGGCAGGACTACAAAGGCGACACCAGCAACAGCAGCAGCAACAACAACAAGCGTAGCAGCGAACTAGCAGCAGCAACAGCAATTCAAAGTAAAACTTGCGCTGTCACAAACGGCCAGCAGAGTGGCAATGAGCAGCAGCAACAGCAACAACCAACCCAAAGACTTAGCAATAGCTTGGAACAGCAACCGCAACAGCAACAGCAAGAGCAACAGCAACAGCAACTGCAACTTAGCAATAAGGAAAATACACTAAGCAACAATACAAACAGCAACGGCTACAATAAACCGCGCTGTAATTATTGTAAATTACCCGACGACGCCGTGCCCCAAACGAACAACAAAAACAAAAACTCGAAAATTGATTCACCGAACTCGTCGCAGAATAAAATGACAATTACGACAGCAGCAACAACAACGAACGTGGCAGCAACGGCCACAGCCAGCGAGTGTGGGTTGACACTGCCAACATCAGCAGCAGCAGCAGCAACAGCAACAGCAACAGCAGAAGAGTTTGTGGGTGCTGCCACAGAAGTGCTGCGCAGCGATAAAGCAACATTGACAGCAACAGCGACGGCGACAGCGACAGCAACATTGCCGCCAACAACAACACCTAAGCCCAGCATAGCTGCACGTCCGACCACGCCCAGCCGCCTTAAGACTGTGATCAAAACAACAATGGTGAAGCGTAGTCCTAGCCATGACTCAACGCAGGCGACTGCGACGCATATGCTGCAACCGAACAGCTGCAACATTAACAGCAGCAACACCACCAACAACAACAGCAACAACAACAACGACGAGCCCAGACGTTCGGTTAGGGAGCGCATCGCCGCCTATGCGGCAGGAAATGGTAAGTTTTTCTTTTATTTTATTTTGTTTGGTTTTTTTCTTTACTCGCTCGCGCTTAATCAGCTTTGGCACTGTCGCCAGTGCCTGGGCGGAAATGTTGTTGCTGTGGGAAAATCGGCCACAGGCTGAGCACACAGTCATTAGGCTAGTTAATAGCTAACAATAAGTTATTAATTGATTTGTGCGCTCAGCTGTCAGAAGGGGCAGAGAGGGAGACAGCGAGAGAGAGGAGAGTCCCATGACTAGCCATGGCAGATCCCAAAGCTTACGCCCACTGTCTCTCGAGTCTCTCTCTCCCACTCGCTCCCTCTCTCTCTCTCTCTTTCTCGCATGTCGTGTCCCTTGAGGCAACATAACGAAGGTCAGCCAGCTCATTGTCCAGTCATTTCCTGTTATTGAACTCAGCGCTAAAAGCGTTCCATATCATATTAATTAAAGATCAGATACTGCAACTCTGGCATCTGAATCACTGGCAGAACAATTACTTAAAATGCTAAATGCGACCAATTAAGTATAATTAAGTGATAATCAACTTAGTTAGTCACTCGCCAAGGCTCAGCATTTGCTGACAATTTGGGTAAGCATACGGACAGACAGTGAACACTCGCAAATGACAAATCTGAAATGCCAGCCAGCTGGGAAGGGCGTGCACATTTATTTGCCTCAGCATTTATTTGCCTTTTATTTATATTAAAAATCAAAAGAAATTGACTGCAATTTTGTCATGAATTATGCATGACGTTGAGCTTTGGATTTCCGTTAGCCTGACACACTCACATAGACACACCTTTTGCATAACACAGAGAGAAAGAGAGAGAGAGAGAGAGGGAGAGAGAGGGACACGCACATAAAGTCGACTCTATTAAAAGTCAATTAAATGCAGCAATGCTTAATAAAAAGCCACTTAAAGCCGCATGAAAACTTTTCATGAAAAATCACTTGAAATTGTGATTAATAATAAAAGAAAAAATATTTTTTATTATTTTATTAGTACGTCTGCATTTGTGCGGCGATTGGAAATGTCGTAAATGCGACGTGGCTATTCAACAGCGTTGCATAAAAAATGATAATCGTCTAGCTGGGTGCAGTTGCCTGACTGACTGACGCACGTGCATATGCACCTCGAAAAGAGAAGAGAAAGAAGAGAAACAACTTAAGCACTCCTCGCATTTGGGCTTTGTCACCAATTGTCGAGTGCACTTCTGGCTGGCTATGACACGCCCCTTAAAGCCAATTGCCTTTGGCAAGCTGCCACCCGCCGCCAATTGGCAGTTGGCAGTTGGCAGTTGGCAATTTCGCAGAGACACGCAGGAAACACGTACAGCACGTTCGACGTCATAAACGCATATTATATCATTTTGATAGGCAAATGAGGCTTGAAAGCCGGCTCGATCTCCAGCCAAGTTAAGCTCAGTTCTTGCCCTTAGCCCAGCTGACGCTGACACTGACTCTGATTCTGACTCTGGCTCTGACTCTGACGTGTGACGGCTTAAGGCGCCAATCTGCTGATCATCGCAATGACGCTGACGTTGTCCTAAGCGAACGCGCACGTCAGCCTCACACAGAATGAGCGGCTTTCATTTGGAGTCGCTCAGGCATTGGTAATCATCATCGTAATGGACAGCCTGCCCATTGGAGTCGCCAGTCGCCTCTCAGCGCCTCACCTCAGCTCACCTGACTCTCGGACCGATTTCCCTTGCAGCCGCCAAGTGGGCAGCTGTGCTCACGTTTATTTACTTTATTTCTTTATTTATTTGCTTTTTGTTTTCGCACTGCTACTCTTTGTACACCCCACTTAACAGCTGTACTCGGGCCAGAGTTGTTGTTAAGTGCATTGAGGTAGGCCTCCATTAGCTGCATTTGCTTTGAGTCATCATCAGGGCTGTGCTCACATACTCTCGATAGACCCTCGCTCGCCCTCTCGCTTAGCCTCAGCCGCCTCTCGCACTGGGCAATTAATCACGTTCAAGTGACCTCAGGCGCACAGAATCAATCAACAATAAAAACAAAACCAAACAAAATAAATGAGAACAACAACAATAAGTCAACCACACACGCCCAGCTATGAACAATGTCGGACGGACAGTGGCCATTTAGCGTAGACACACCCAGCAAACAATTTTATTTTAAGTCAATAAGCAAATAAGTACAAATATATTTCATTTTCTCGCCGTTGTCTCTTGTTTGCCTATATATGTAGGTATATACATACGCAATATATAGACACAAAAATTGTTAATGGCAGCACGGCAAGTAGAACAAAGGCCGCTACAGTTATTTCCGTTCGTTGAGTTGTGCTAATTAAATGCCGCACAGAAGGCCAGAAAGCCAGAAATTGGCCAACTGCGCCAATATATATATGGAGGGCTGCTCTCTGACTGGAATTGTGACTGTCACTGCGACTGTGACTGTGACTGGGAAGACCTCCCATGAACTTTCAACGCGCCTCCCACACACACACACACACATACAGTCACACATGCCATATGGCAAAAAGTACCGTTAGCGTTGCACAATTGAAATATTGCCAAAACGGCAGAAGAAAAGTGCAGCCCAGTGTGGGCCCGACTTGGGCTGCCTTGGCTGGCGGCCTGCCAATCGCCGCAAGACGATCAATTGGTGGACGCTTTTCAGCTGACTCCGAGCTGGCAGAGCTGAGACCCCCATAAAATGTAGCCAAACTGTCGCTGTCTTCAGCCTGGCTGACTGACTCGTTTGCGCCGCTGATTTACGAGCTCGCCACGGGTCGTTGTCGTTGTTGTTGTTGTTGTTGCAGTTGTCGTTGTCGTTGTGTAACGCATGCGATTCAGAATTTTTAAATGCCAAGCGCTGACCAGCAGCAGCAGCAGCCAAGAGCTCAGATTGAGCCTGCCGGTACTTGCTGTTGTTGTTGTTGTTGTCGCCAAGTCGCGACGGTGGCGGCGACATTTTAATCAAGAAACCCAATCGAACGCACGCATGCGCAATAAAAACAAAAATAAAATCAAACCTATAAAATCAACAACAACAAAAATACTTAACCGTTTCACTTACACACACACGCACGCACACACACAGTCAGTACACTACACGCATTCCAGTAGATCGCCTCCTGAGTTCTCTTGAAGCGTTCGATTGGGGGCTGGCGACAACAACAACAACAACAACAACGACTGACGAACGCCAACAAACAAAGTTCACTTGATCTTCAGACGTTTTGCCCCTATGCGAATTGAAATGCGATTTATGGCGATACCTTCGCCCATTTGCATACCCATGTGGGCTACACGTAGAGCAAATATGTCTAGAAAGAGAGAGAGAGAGAGAGAGGTAGTACAATGAAATTGATAAACTCGTGCAATTGCCACAATATCCACATACATATGTATGTATGTAGAGCTGCCTAGACTGCACGCTGTACATACCCAGAATAGTTGCTAAATATATGCAGAGAAAAAGTAGTGTAAGTGAGCTATTTTGAATTAAAGAAAGTTTTTTATATATATACATATATAGATTTTTTTTTTTTTTCGATAAGAGATTTACTGGAAAGTTTGGGCTTCATTTCTACTTAGAAACTTTAAAACCTTTTTAAGGCAAATAATTAACAGTGCTTTGAAATTTGTGTGAAATTGACTTTTAATAATAATATTGGACAGATTTTAATAGTACGATCACTTAAAAGTGAGAGAAATTTGGCATATATACATATGTATATAAGTACATTGCTTTTGACGTGTTGTTGCGTATGAGCTTAGTATTTTCATGTTAAAAATATTCCATAGTTCATAATTGTATATTTTTAAATCTAATGTATAATCTGGGATACATTTAAGTATATGTAATTTATTATTTATTTGTGATAAACTTTTTTGGTATTATTATAACCAAGATTATATTATCTTTAAATTCAGCAGTCGTAGTTTTATTATTTATTTATTTATTTTTTACTAAGCCCATAATTTAGAATTATGCTATCTTTACATTTTCTGCCTTGAATGTTCTATTTATAATTATTTTTATGGCATTTAATATTTAAAAATGAAAATTATTTTTGAATCCATTTTAACTCCATTTGAATTAACTATGTGAACACATGCGTCTCCGTCTGAGACCCTCGTGCTTCGCTTCTGGTCTGTAAGAACCGTATCCAGTCCCAGTGTTTTTGCTGGGTGCGGCTGCGAGTAGAGCAAACAGAGCTTAAGATAAATATTTTGCGAGCAATCGAGGGCATGGATAAGCTGCGAGTGGTGCGAGCAATATTATCGAATATGTAAATAATTGCTTGCCATTTGCTCGCCATCGAAAAATTAATTAAAGCATTTGCACACACATGTACAGACAGACAAATGGCAGGAATGGGAAAAACTGAAGTCCACTCACACACTCACAGACACACGAACACACACACATGTGCTGGGCATGTTGCGAAAATTTATGACAATTTAAATGGTGCACATTCGGCAGACAATTTGAGGCGATTAGCGCAGAAATTTTCGCGGATTTGGCTTAAGCGGCACGCCGATGCTTGCCACATGTGGCAGCCGCGACTTTTGCCGCATTTTGGCGTCTTTTGCACATTTGGCGCAATTTTTCATTTACTGTAAAAATGATTATGAAAATGTGTTTTCTGGGCGCGCCATTTGTTGCGAGTTGTGGCTGCAAAGTATGATCAACATGTTGCCGCAACAATAATTTCAACAGCTGCATGTGTGTGTGTGTTGGCAGCAATGACAACTTTATATGACTCGTTGAAGAATTATCGCTAAAATTAAACACTGTCTCACCTCCCTCTCTCTCTCTCTCTCTCTCTCTCACTCTATTTTTTTCAGAGCCACCTCAGAGTGGAGCCAACGTGGCTCGGCAACATGACAGCGGCAAGAAATTTAGCAAAATTCAGTGCAATACAAATCAAAACAACATGACAAGCGATGTGAAAAGTGCAATTAGCAGTGGCAGCCACAGCCACAGCACCAGGAACAACAGCAGCAGCAGCAACGGCAACAGTCAGCAGAAACAACATCAAACGCTTATCAACGGCAACACAACGCCGCCGGCAACAGCAGCAGCGGCAGCGGCAGCCAACACGTCAGTCTCCTGCGCGACTATCGCAACTGACACGACGCGCTACAAATCGGGATTAAGTGATGTAGCGGCCGACGAGGACGTTGATGATGCAGCCACATCCACAGCAACAGCTACTGCCACATCCACATCCACATCTACAGCTATAGCCACGGCTAAAGCAACAGCAACTTCATCTGCCACTCCTGCGCCAGCTGCGAGCGTTTTAAGCACCGGTTGTGCAACTATGCCGCGCACTCGCCAATACGGAAGCAATGCTGCAGGAGCAGTGGCAGCCAACACCATGACAGCTGATAAGAAATTCTTAAGCCGTGCTGCGCCCGCCGCCAACACTTCGGGCAACGCATCTGCAGCAGCTGCTGCTGCACCACAGCAACATCATAAGCTGCCATTCAGCGATAAGGCCGAACTCAAATTGGCCGCCTTGGACAATCTGGACCTGGCGCACAGCCTCGACCTGATCGATGAAGATGGCGATGATCCCTATGGTGCACTCCAGGACTATTTGGAGCGCGTTAAGGTAAGTGCTGGGCTTCCTTAATTAGCTGTTAGCCGATTTCATATTGCATCATTCTTGAATTGAATTTGGGCCATGTCTCTAGTCACTTGCTGCCAGCTGGCCGTATTTAGTTTCATTTTATTTTGACAAGCGACAGTTGCTGTCGCCACACACATTTCACTAAGCAGCTCCCCTTCCGGTCTACCCCGCCTCTGCTGCCGCACGCCTCCTAGACTGTCAACGCCGCGTGATTTTGCAAATGATTATTTTGCGTGACAGAAAAATGTGTTAAACCAAACACAGTTGAGACACAGCACCAGCAGCAACAGCAGCAGCAGCGACGGATTCGTAATGTGTAACGCATACGACGCGTTGCACGCTCAGCATTTTTGTTGCTGTTGCTAGACGTCGCTGTCGCTGTGGTTGTCGTTGTCGTTAGCGTTGTCAGCGTCGTGTACATAAAATTTTATGTTTCTGTACCGGAAAGCGCAATATTACAAGCTCAAAGACTAAGCAGCGTCAGCGTCAACGTCAACGTCATCGACAACGTCAACGGCCGACCGCAGCTTTAGTGATTTTTATAACTGTTTCGCATGAAATTTGTCCACAGACAAGTTGCTTCTTTGCCCATAGCGGAAGCGGCGCACGCACGCGTCGTTCATTAGCATTGCGTTTATGGTGGAGCTGCGCAGCTCGTGGAGCTCGTCGAACCAAAGGCGCCAGTTGGTTCTATGCTGTGCTGTGCGTGCATCGACTAACGGTCACTAACGACGCCTTCATTTCGTTCGAAGCTTTATTTAACTGAGCTGCTAATCCCTCTGCCTTGCAACGTGCGCGTTTAGCATTGATCATTTAGTTTTATCCCATCGATGCCACTCCCACTCCCACTCCCCCATCACCTCTTAGCAACTTTAATATTCATTGCATTTTAAGACTTTCGTATACTTCAAATTTAATAAAAAGTGAGCATTCAAAAATTGAATAAGATAAAAAAATCATAACAAAATTTTACTTTTTGAGAATTTATTACTTTTTCAGATTTGCAAACACTTTAAATAATATAAATAGGATGCATAAATAGATTGAATACGATAAATAATAGCATAAATACATTTTATGAGATTTTCAAGTACTTTAAATGAAATAAATAATGAGCACAAACCAGACGTAAATTACATTAAAATTATTTAAAAAATCAACTTTCTATTCACAACTAAAATATTAAATTAAGAGCTTTAAAAAGAATTCAATTATAATTACCTTTTCAAACTTATTAAATTTTTGTGTTTTATGGAAATTTTGCTGCCTTAAACTGACTTAAAATTAAGCATTAGCTTTTGGGTTCTTCAGCTTCGTTCATGCTGTTCAATAACTAATTTTAGAAAAACTCTAAAATCTATTTACTCTTTTACCTCACATACATCCCGTTACGTAATCGTCATCTATTTCTTTGTCAATCCTATCAAAAATCTGTTTTATGTTTAATGGATCTAAAACCGTTTTCCACATCTATTTGTAACGCAGTTTCTCCCTAATCGAAAATAGATAATAGATAATATCTATTCTTCTTGCACTTTGTATGCCTCCCTATATAAGAAACCCATACAGCCTTAGCTCGGCCTGCATTTCTTTTTGGCCTCTGATTGGCATTAGGCGGCTGCACGCCATCTATGCACATTTTATAATCAGTGTCATCACCTCAACACCCATCGACCGGCCAGCCACGCCCTGATGGGCGTTACATACGTTGCTAGTGTGGCTGTTGTTGTTGTTGTTGTTGCTGTTGTGTCTTGTGTGTGGTGCTTAGCCGGCGTGGGCTGTCAGCTTATGACACGAGCAATGGCTGGGGCTGTGGCTGTGGCTCTTGGTCTGAGTCTGACTTTGGCCCTGGCCTGTACTAGCCAGGCTTAAACACCTTCATTTTCTTTTCTTTTTTTTTTTTTCATTCACATTTCAGCTCAATGCAGCTAATTTTTTGGCTAAATTGAAATTATTAGCCGGCAACTGTGGCTAATGATGACAAAATGTGTCACAGTGCTGCCCACACGAGGCAGTCGCTTTCTTTTGCCGCTGCCGCTGCCTCTGCCGCTGCCGCCGCCGTTGCCCGCGCGCGTGGCAACGTTTGTGAGGCGCGTTTATTATGACAAATAGTGCAGCACTTTAGCTCCAAATCGCCGTTACTCGTAAGACCCGGCTAGGCGCTTGTTGTAGTCGTGGCCTTAGGCTTAATTTGCCTAGTTATGAAATGCGTTTGTGGAGGCGGCGATGGCGGCGCTGTTGTTGTTACTGTCGTTGTTGTTGTTGTTGTTGTGGTTGTCTGCGTTGTCGTTGCCTGACCTATTTTGGCCGCAGCAGCGAAGCGTGCAGCGAATCTGGTAGGCTGTTTATGAAACAGATGCAACATGACAAGCGCGCGGCAACTCGTTTTGCTTCGCGCTTCCTGCATCAATTAGCGTTTGTGTTGCATTTCGGCTACACACACACACACACACACACACACACACATGCACACACGTAATCCATAATTTAACTACAAGACACTTCAATCATAATTGACTCTCGTCAACGGACTGACGAGTCCATAAGCTCAATCAAGCCTTCAACGTCTAACGCTTTAGCCATGCAAAGAAAAAAAAAAAAATAAAAATCTGATAAGCTTTCGACAACACCAAACAACCAGCAAAAACAACAAAATAAATGCTGTTGCGTGTGTTCTCAGTCGATTTTAATTATAGATATTGACAATGTGGCAAAACGAAATTGAGCCGTACAGCTCAAAAGCCTCAAACTGTGGGATTGGCCGAGGCAGCTCCTAGGGATTGTCCCAGCTTGAGTCAGTGTGGTTCAGTGAACCTCGAAAGCATCAGCCAATTATGCGAATGCTGTTAATGAATGTGGGCGACGGCTTTACCCTTAACTTATCTGAGACTCTATAACTTTATGCAATGGCATTAGGTGAAGCTGGAGCTGGGAGCTGAGAGCTGGGAGCTGGGTAATTTGCGCCTGCAACTGCGTCTGCGCAGCTGCCTAGAGAAAGTTGTCTTTGCCCAATTTGCAAATGACGTTTTTTTGTCAACGTCAACAGCAAACGGCAATCGGCAAATGGCGAACGGCAAACGGCAAACGGCGAACGGCTAAGCCAAACGGGCAAATGGCAAACAAATGGCAATAAAAGGCAGTGCCAGCGCTGTGCACGTTACTATTTTTGTCAACCAGGAGTTGCTGCCGTGTCCCCCAATGCAGACAATAAACCAGAAATCGCAGCAATGCGCCAAATGAAGCCAAAACTGAAAATACAAATAATAAAACAACAACAACAGCAACAACAAGTCAACAGCAGCAGTAAACAGTCAACAAAATCAACAGCAACATGTTGCTCTCTGCTGTCATTGCCACAAATCAAATGAAAGTGAAGCAACTCTCCAGCTGTCCTGCTGTCCAATTGTCCAACTGTTTGACTATCTGTGAGCAGCAGCTTCTACAATTTCACCAGCAGCAATCATAATTGCGGTCGGCAATTAAGCTGCTGTCAAATATTGCCAGCTACTCATGCTGCTCGGGTTACAGTTGTAGTTGCAGTTGCCTGTCGCAGTTGCTGGTTGCATGTTGCTGCCGTGCACACAATTGCCTCACCCTCGCCTCGAACCTGTGCCTGACGTGTTGTCAACAGCATTTGGCTCATTCCAGCACCGCTGACAATGCGTTGATATTTTCCGACAAGCAAATCTGTGGCAACAAAAAACCATTGCCACAAAATTGAGCCAATTTGCTGAGCCTGGACTCAAGTCGACTGGACGGGACGGAATGGTTGCTACTGCACCATGTATCCATGGATAGCTTTCAGCTGGACACTGACTTTCTTTTTGGCCAGCCATCAGACAACCTGGGCTTCTTTTCTTTTCTTTTCATTTTCTTTTCTTTTTTGGTCTATCTGCTGGCTGCTTTGCCAAATGTCAAGCCCAAGTGACACAAAGTAGTCAACGCTGTTGTGATATCCGTTTGAGAGTTGGCAGCAGAGTTAAAGACGCTTCCTAAACATGATTCGCAGCTTTATTTGTTCGTTCTTCTCGCATGACACTTTTGCTTAAGCTGCTTCAGAAACAAATAATAATATTTGAATATTTGAAACTCGGAACAAATATGCGCAGTGTCATAAATCTTGGAAAAGTGCTACAAGATAAAGCTGACCGTGTCAGTTGCATAAGAGGGGCTCTGTATATATACAGGGTGGAGCAAGAATTCTTTTGCTGTAATTTTTCTTTTCCCCTACTTCTGAAATTTGTTTATTTAATTCATTAGAATATATTCTGGCCGAAGCTAGAATTTATGACTATACGATTCTGTTTCATGGCTTGTTGCAATACTGTTGATAAAATTTAGGGCATCAGGCTCTCTCACTTTTGGCAATTATTCTTCTTCAAGGTTCTAAATTTTCGATGAATGTGAGCGACTAATAGACCCCATAGAAAATGTCTGGAACCGTTAAGTCGGACTAGATTTCTTTCTAGATTAAGTTATGCGGAAAAGTTTCCTTCATTCATTCCATTCCTATATACGTATATATACCTATGTAGAATCCGGTTATAACGTCCGTTCGTTTATTTTGTAATCTTTTAAAATTTATAATTGAATAACTGAAATTCCTCTCTAAATTTCACTTCCTTATTTTCAGTTGAATTAAAAAGCCCAACATTACTTTATTATTTAGCTTCAGAGCTACATTCGATATACTCACCAAGATATGTTGATATATGCCTAAACATATCAACTTCTTTGACTATTATCTTACACATCTTTGACATACTCTTATCCCAATGCAATCCCCATTAATATTCAATTCAAGAATAATTTAACTTATGACATAAATCCCTCAAAATAAAATGCTGAACTCATGGCCACAAACTCTGAAAGCTTCCCAGTCAGATCTCATTAAATACTTCGGTCTATGCATTGCGTCGGTACAGCTGCACGTGAGACACACGCTTGACCACATCGGCGGATCACTCGAAGTGTCATTGCCC